CCAGAGCTGCGGTCCTCCCACCTCTGGGAAGAGGAGGTAGGCGAGGCAGCGCAATATCTCTGCTCCAGTGCCAGCACAGCAAGCATGTCCCCTTCGTTCCAGTGGCTGTCCTGGGCATGGTGCAGAGGCAGGAGGTTGATGCTGGGCTACTCCAGGGGCTGCCCGCATCCCTCTGCTGCCTGTGCCAGGCTGGTGCTGGCTTCACCAGCTTAGCAGCCAGTGCGAGCCTCTGGCCTGCGGTGAAGGTTAAGGCTGTGTGTCTGGGTATCTCATAGTGCCTGGACGTGGCTGAGCTCCAGTCAGTTCTGTGCTGGAGCTGGGGGCTTGCTGGGGCACTGCTCTCGGCCAGCCCTGCAGTGCAGCGACACACGGCATGGGGAGGGGGCAGGCAACACTTTTCACCACCCTGTGTCACAGACCCGCCGCCAGCTCCCTCCCCGTGCTCTGCCACCATCCATCCCAGCTTGCAGCAGGGGGGTCCTTCCCCTATGTTTCCCTAGCCCATGCAAGCACTGGGATGTGGGTAGCTAATACACGCAGGTGGGGAAAAACCTGCCACCCTGCTATGTGTTAGAGGTCTGGCTGTGCTGTGTCTTCCCCCAGCATGGCTGGGCTGTTCCAGGGGAGTGCAGAGCCACCGTGCCCTGCCTGTCCACCCCAGAGGCATCGTGGAGAAACACCTCAGCCCCACTTGGCAGCAGCTTGAAGCTGCAACCACTAAGTGCCAGCAGATGCTGCCCTGGCCACCCTGCCCTCCCCAGACCCAGAGTGGCTCTTGGGGGCTCTTTGGCAGGAGAGGATGAGCTTGGTGGGGAGGTCCAGCTGCGCAAGGCAAGACGTTGGCAGTGGGCTGATGGTGTCAGCTCTGAAAACATTTAACCTCACTTGCAGTTGCAGCTCTGGGCTGTTCTGCACTCCTGTCACTAATGCTGGTCTGGCTCTGTCTCCCCCATCCCTCTGACTGCCCTCTCCCATGCTCTCTTCTCTCCCCCTCTCTCCTTTCTTGCTGTCTGTGAAATCAGGACTTCCCTGGGTTAAGTGACGATTATTATGGAGCAAAGAACCTGAGTAAGTCAAATTTCAATGCGCATCATTCACTTTCCGTCGCTGGCATGCCTGGTGGTGCCTGGGGACGGGCTGGGCTCCCGCTGGGGCAGCTGTGCTTCTCTGGGTGCGGGGAAGGAGGAGCCCCGCAGGCGCCGCTCCGCTGTCGGGGAGCGCGGAGGCTGCTGGGCTTGAAGAGGTGCTGCTGCTGCACGCAGGAGGGGATGGGGGAGTTTGCTTGGGGATGTTGGCCTTGCCCTAAGTGCACCCAGCTGAGGGCTGCCTGCCACACCTGGGGTGAGCTGTACCTCCTCATCCTCCTCTTCCTCTTGCTCCTAGCTGGGCTGGCTGCTGATTTAGCGCTTGAAGACTTGGAGCCACTGCCAGTGTGGGTGGGAGGTGGCTGTGACCACAACAGGTCCCCTCTGAGTGGGGCGGGTGACAGAGTTTTGAAGTGTTGCCACCTTCTTCTGGGGCATCATGTACCCAGAGCTGCAAAACGATGGCAGGAGCCCCTCTGGCCTCCCAGCTGGGTGTGAGTCCCCTGCCAAGCTCTGCACCCCCCTGATTGGGACAGAGCCCAGCCCAGGGGCAGTCACAGCACTGGGATCAGCCTGAGCAAGAAAAGCCCCAAACTCTGTCCTGTCCTGTCACTGTCTTGTCTCTGTGAGTCCCGGCCCTGTCCCCATGCTGGCATGGAGCCGTGTCCCCCCCCTCGCCCCCTGTGTGCATGCTGTACCTGCTCCCCCTGCCAGCACCCTCCTCCCCGTGCACTCCACTTCCCCTCGCTCAGCCTGGGAAGCCCAGTGCCTGCACGTTGCGTGCCCACGCCAGCCAGGCAGCCCCTTCCCAGCATCCCTGCCTTCTCCTGGGCTAGCCAAGCCTACCCCTGCATGTCCCTGGTCTGTCAGCAAAGGGTGAGAGATGCCACCCTGCCCATGCAGCACAGGCTCATCCCAGCAGGTGCTGGGGCGCAGGTTTTTCGGGAGGCCGGCGCTGCCCTGCCCTGGGTCAGTAGTGCTGGGTGACAGCCGCGGTGCCCCTGTACCTTCCGCCCGTGCTGCTTCTGAAAGGGGTGTCTCTGGTTGCTTTGCAGAGGGTGTGACATCAAACACCAGTGACAGTGAGAGCAGTTCCAGTAAGTATGCGTCTCACCTGCTCTCCCACCCCTGTGCGTGTGTGTGTGCGCACGCGCACGTTTTGGCACTTCCATCTTGTCTTGTCCCGGTGGTGGTTCTGTTTGGAGGCTGGTCCTTCCTGCTGGTGACACAAAGATGCTGCAGCCAGCTTCCCCCTCAGGGCCAAGGGGAGCAGGGGCTGGGGGGCAGGAGCAAGCCTGCCTGCGTCCTTCCTCTCTCTTGGCTGCAGGGCTCTGCTCCAAGGATGGGTGGTGGGTTCCCAGTCCATGGCGCTCCCCCATCCTCAGTGCCTGCTGTGGGAAGCAATGGCCAGAGGCCAGGTCTGTAGCATAGGGGTCCAGCTGCAGTGACTGCTTCCCTTATCCCCAGTGGGTGCTCTAAAATATCCGCAGCACATCTGCCGTCCACCCTGCAGGGAGGAAGGTAACAGGAGCCGGCTCCTCGTGGGTGCGGAGTGGCTGAAAAGCTGCTGCAAATGCTCACCTGCCTCTCCCTGGCTCTGTTGCAGAAGGACAAGAGGACACCATCCTGTCGTACGAGCCAGTGACGCGGCAAGAAAGTAAGTCCTGGTGCTGAGCTGCGCCATGCCCCTGCAACCTGTGTCCCCAGCACAGCCAGGGCAACTGGTGCGACCTCCTCCCCTCCTCTGCCTACCAGCACAACGCTGGGTGAACACAAGTGGAGTTTCTTGTCTGTCGCATGCAGCAGGGGAGCCAGGCGTGCACACCATCTCCCAGGGCTTTCCCTGGCCTTGATTGCCCTTTTCTAATCAACAGAAAAGACTTGTAACCTGGCCTGCAAGACCAAGGGAGAGATCCAGAGCTAACACTGAGCTGGGCTTTAGTCCCCCACTGAGGACAGGATTATCCCTCCCTGCCTTGGTCCAGGTCCCTGCTACAGAACAACCACTCCCCCCACCCCCACCCCCTCAGTGCTTAACCCTGCTCGATGCTCAATCCCTGCAGACCCTTCCACTGGCTGAATAGTCCCAGCCTCGGTGCTCTTTCCTTGCTAGAAGCTGGACCAGACTCTTAGGCTCCCATCACTCCCCCAGCTCCATGGCACCCTTGTCCAGCTGTCCCGGCTGTCTAGCTCCTGCCCCGTGCAAGGCAGCAGCTACGCTGATCTGCGACCCTGGAGACCCACAGCACCTTCCCTTGGCCCCGCAAATGGTTTGGGTCAAATGGGAAGGAGGTGCTGACTGTGACCAGGAGGAGATAGACTAACTCTTACGAAGGAGGAGATGCCTTTGGGTGCCCATGTGAGCAGGAGCACTCGCTGCCAGCAGGACAGGGCAGGTTGATGCTGAAAGTTGCAGTAGGGTCACCTCCCCGCAGTGCAGACGGGGCCTCAGTTTGTGACTCTTGTTTGCAGTTCACTATGCGAGGCCGGTGATCATCCTCGGGCCGACAAAGGACCGAGTTAATGACGACCTCATCTCCGAATTCCCACACAAGTTTGGTTCCTGTGTGCCACGTAAGTCCCAGCTGGCACTCGGTGCCCTCGCTGGAGGGAGGGGAGAGGGCTGGCTCTGCTGGCCTGTGGCGTGGGGAGGAGGCTGGGAGCATGGGTGGGTTTTCTGCCTCCCAGGAGGTTTGGCATGCATCGCTCTGGGTTCGCTCATGATGCCTGCTGTCCTCCAGACACTACCAGGCCTCGGCGTGAGAACGAGGTGGACGGACAAGACTACCACTTTGTCGTATCCCGCGAACAGATGGAGAAAGACATCCAGGACAACAAGTTCATAGAGGCTGGGCAGTTCAATGACAATCTCTACGGGACCAGCATTCAGTCAGTGCGGGCAGTGGCGGAGAGGGTGAGTGTCGAGTGGTATTCCTGGGACCGGGATGCATCTAGTCCAAACCGAGACGCGTTCGGCAGTTCCCCTCCTCTCCCTGTGGTGTTAACAAAGGGCTGTAACCACATTAAACAAACGTGGCACAAGCCTCTCCTCCCTCCCTAGTCCTGCCCAGCCACGTGGCTGCTTTTCTCAGCTGTGTTACTGCATCTCTGTGTCGTACCTGTCATCCAAAACTCCACCTGAAAGCCCAGCACTGGTGGCACCAGCATCGTGCTCGGGAGCTCGCAGGGCAGAGGTGCCCAGCTGTCTTCCTTGAAGCAGCGGCGTTTCCTCCTCAGCAGTACTGGAATGTACCAATGGCTTCTAAGTTGTTCAGAGAACGATTTGGTCCCTTTGCAGCACTGCTGAGCTGCCCTAAGCAGGCGGGAATGTAAGGTTACTGGGAGTTGGCTTGTGTCTCAGGACTGGTGTTTCATCTCTGTGGCTCCTCTCTTTTGTAAGCGCAGCTGTATGAGCAAGCTGTTTTCTGCACGGAGCAGACTGCGTGGGTAGGTCTGATCCTGATCTTTTCCTTTCCAGGGGAAACACTGCATCCTGGATGTGTCTGGCAATGCTATCAAGAGGTTGCAACAAGCACAACTATATCCCATTGCCATTTTCATCAAACCGAAATCCATTGAAGCTCTCATGTAAGTGCAATGCCATGTTCCGTGCCTCTCCAGGGCAAGCAGCTCTGGCATGTCAGGGGTTTGTATGTCTGCTGCCTGTGCTTTTTAGAAAGCAGTGGAGGTTGCTGCTGGTGCTGAACTTGTCCCTTGTTAAGAGGAGCTGGGCCCATTGCTGTCTCTGGTGTCCCTCCACGTCTAATGCCATGTTGCACCTAGGCTCCGCAGATTGCTCTGGCTTAGAGCCCTTTGTTCGCCCCAGGATTATCCATGGGAAATCTAAAAATGCACCCAAATGTGCCTGATGTAACCTGCTCACCTGGGCCGCAAGTCCAGCCAGGAGAGCTGCCAGCCGCTTGTAGTGGTTGATCACAACTGGGTGGTGGCTGAGCCAGGACAGCCCTGGGGAGCAGAGAGGAGACAATTCCCGTGTGCCTAAGGGGAACCTTCTGCTTGTCCTGCTGCGCCTGGCCCTGGGGAGTGCAGGCTGGAAAGGACGCAACAGCTGAGCTTCCAACTATTCCGAGCACCAGCAGAAAATATTATCTGTGAGGAGATTCAGTAGCTAGAGATGGACTCTTGAGGTCAGAAGAGACTCTGCTGGCACTGAAGGGACTGGGAAAACTCCTCAAGCCAGAAGAGGTCGAAGGTGTTGTATGAGGATGAGGGAACCTAAGTAAGGAGGGTGGTGACGGGCTCTGGAAAAGCAGGGAGACTTCTGCAGTGGTCTTGCAAATTCAGAGGATTGTCTGGATTTGAGCCCATGTCTGTGCTGTGGTGAAAGGCAGGGTTGGTGGAAATGAGAAGAACTGTTGGAAATTAAGATGAATTGCCAAGGCAGCAAAGAGCACGTGGGGAAGGGTCCTGCCTTTTAGATCTGGGTCCTGCACAGTTTCCGTTCCTGCTGTGCAGAGGCTTCCCAGGCACCCTGGCTCTGTGGGCTATTTTTGCTTCTGTTCATTGTTGAGAAAAAGAGCTAGGTTTCTATTTTTTTGTGTGTGGCAGGGAGATGAACCGGAGACAGACGTATGAACAGGCCAACAAGGTCTTTGACAAAGCCATGAAACTCGAGCAAGAGTTTGGAGAGTATTTTACAGGTGAGTGTCCTAAGCAGGCTTGTATCTGATTTATTTTACTTTTCTGGCTGGCAGCGGTGACCTCTCTACCAGCACTGTCGTATTGCAGGGTCATGGGAAAATGTCCAGCTTCATCAAAGCAAAAAAGAAATGGCACTTTGCCAGCAGGGCTCTGCAAAAGGACTGCTCCAAGATCAGTGGATAAGAGTAAACCAGCTCTAGAGAAGGAGACAAGTTGTCAGGCAAGATTTTCTGAGTTTGTGAAAGCTTATCGCCAACTTTAATAATAATTTAAAAAGTCCCCAGGCAGGGGAAGCCCAGCATAGATTCAGGGTGTTACAAGGCTACAGGAAATAAAACTCCCTGCACGGGGAAAAGGGGAGCGTTTTCAAAAAGAGAAGAGAGTAATTTTAAAGAGGAAAAATAAAAAAGTAATGACCTAAATGGTGGAGACTGTCCTGAGTTATTACAAAACATCTCCCAAAAAAAGACTGCAAGTTTGGCTGGCTTCCCAAGTAGTCTTTGCTGAAGAGCCAGTCAGGGGCTGCCCAGCTCTCCCTGCCCGCAGAGATGAACTGCTGATGACACAGGGATTCCTGCGCCTTAAGGAACTGATGTTTGTAACATGATTAATTCTGGAAAATCACGGGCAGGCGAAGAGGCAGAGAAACTGGTCTTCCATCTCTCCTCCAGCGCAGTAACTGTTTCTTCTAAAGCTGAGAAGTGATAATCCTGCCAAACTCTGTATTACCCACCTAGCAGCTACCGGGAAAAATCCCAAGCAGAACATTTTCCAAAAATGGATCTCAGCTGAGCAAATGTATGGGTACAAACAGGGTAAAAGCTTTCCCCAGACCTCCTGTCCCAGGCAGCCGTTGCAGAGCTGCCGGCTGCTCTTCCAGGAAGAGCACAAAGAAAGCACATGCCGCAGTTTTGCCAGACCCTCAGCATGCCGTCCTGTGCTTGGCCAGCGAGTTTGAAGTTGACCTGGGGAAGGAAGGCTCTTGGCTGAAACCCCTTGTTGAAAGAAGTGGGTAATGGGCAGAGAGATGGGTGCTGTGGCAAGTTCTGTGCGAGGAACTTAGAATGAGGGAACAGAGATGCTGGGGGATGGTCCTGGCTGGGCTACGGAGGCAGGCTGAATTACCGGAAAGCTTTGGCCCTCCGTGTGTGTTTCTTCTTCCTCTGATGTAGGAAGCACAGTGAAGTGTCTTGTGTTATGTCTGTACTAAGCAGCGAGACTGTCACTGGTCTTTGGGCAAGAGTTACTGCTGGGAGCAACAGCCATAAGCTTTTCCAGCCTGACAGTGCTGCCATTCCCACCCCACAGCAGAGGAAGCAACAAACACAAGGAGTTGTCAGCAGCCGACCAGAGGGCACAGCCAAATCCGGCACCTTGGGGTACATGCTCGGCACACACCAGCTAATCTGCGCAAGGCCATCCCCTTCACCACGGTGGAATAGCTGCAGTGCTGGGGCCAGCTGCCCGCAAGCCTCGGCATGGTGGCGAGACATGGTTTGCAAAGCTGATTAGCAGCCTGTTGTGGAGAACCTGGCCAGCACCTCACATGCGTGAGGAGCTCTGCCAGTGCAGGGTCAGCTCTCACTAATCCCCTTGGACACGCTGGGTTAACCCCCTGTGTCATTGTGCGCCTGTTACAGCTCCTTTGACGCGGGTTGTCTCATTCATTAGTTGTTGGCTGTGCCACACTGACCGATTTGGTGCAGAGTGAAAGCCTTCATGTAGCTTGTGGCAGGGAAGGTGCAGCACTGCCTGATGCTCACGGTCTTGCTTGTTCTGTCCTCTTCCAGCCATCGTACAAGGAGACTCTCTTGAAGAGATTTACAGCAAAATCAAACAGATCATTGAGGACCAGTCTGGGCACTACATCTGGGTTCCATCCCCAGAGAAACTCTGAAGATGTCCCCCACCTGCTTTCCTGTGAGCAGAAGATCTCCGAAGTCCCACCCCACCCAAGCCCTCTGCCCCAAGGGGGGGATATGAAAACTATTCCTGCCCCCTTTTTTAGATCGTCGCAAAATTGAGTTTTCTAGTCCTGTTTCTTTTGTTGGGATGAACTAATCTCATTCATCATGTGACTGTTCCCACCGTTCCTGCATGGACCTTCCCACTGCTCCATTAGAGACAGATGAGAACCCATTCAAGGTCGTTTTTTATTATTATTATTATTATTATTATTACTATTATTATTATTAAACTAAACCAAGAATCAAGATGGGAGGAGGCGGCTAAGGACTGATGTAAGAAACAAGTGAAACAACGGACTCCGAGCACATGAGCTAGTATCGGAGCTCTGGGGGCATTTTTCCAAGTGTGACTGTCTAGCAGCTCTGGACAGGGTGACAGAAAGGCAGCAGAAAGCATTTTATTTATCTGTATATGTAATTTATATATAATATATAGAGAGATATTATATATATATTATATATATATATGTATGTGGACTAGGAAACCTGAGGGACCTCTCTTACAAGGTATTGTATTATTGCAAGGATCTTACAGTTTCTCTGTCCCAACCGCTGGGCATAGGGAGTCCACTTGGGCAGGAAGAGCTCCAAACGGTACCAGGTGCTTCAGAAGCATCTCCTGTCAGGGCCAGCCGCCTCCTGCCAGCCGCCCTGGGCCTGCGCGGAGCAGAGACTGGTACGCTGCCTGCGCAGACGGGACCGGAGGTCTGGAGTAACACAGCAAGGAGCAGCAGCTGATCTGAGTGAGGCTGGGAGACAGAGACTGAGCAGGAGGCTGCAGAGCAAGAGAATGGATGATACTACGTATTAAATTGCACATTGTTTTACACACCACCTTATGTGTTTGCATGAGAGGTTTCCTTTTGGTTCTATTTTTTTAAGCTAATTTTAAACCAAAACCGTATTATGTTGCTGTGTTGGCTTTTTTTTTCGTTATTCCATTTTTCTCTTGTTAATAATGAACTGAATGGGTATAAAATCCAGTTTTTTAACTTATTTTTTAAGCTGGCTCTATTGTAAATAGAATCTAGATCTGCGGTGTTTAGTTAGGAAGTAATCTACCAGCCACATGGAACATACGTACTCGCTGTCCTGTGTTGCTGTGGAAAACCTTGGATGTTGGGCTGGCCCTGTACCTGTGGGCACAGGTGAAATGACCCGTTCTAGCTTGCGGCAGCGTGCTGGCATTCCCTTCTGCGTTAGCTGCTGGCAGGAAAAGCCCCCAGCTGTGCCTTGGATGGATGCTCACACTTTTTCCAAATCAGTAACAGAATTAAAAAAACTTCCTCCCTTTCTTCCCTGCTCCATGCCAAATTCCCGGCTCTGCTGCATGCAGGTGCAGGTGCTGGTGGGGGCCTTCCCAGAGGCCACACTTCCAGCACGGCAGGGACCTCTCCTGCTGCTCTGGGAGCTGGAGCTTGGCAGGTGAAGGTGCAGCTGCCTCGCCTGGTTCTGTCTCTGACATCTCTGCATAAATCCTCTTTCTGAAATTGGGATCTGCTCCTTCTCTCAAGGTCACCTTAGAAAACCGAGCTGGGTGCCCTGTGCTTGCAGGTCTGTGGGGCAAGGGGAGGCAGAGCTGCACCCATCTGCTGTGCACTGGGATTTTTTCAAGCGACTATTGGTGCTGAGACAGTTGGTCCTAAGCTGAGCAATGTCTGTCTTCGAGGACACTTTGGCTTCCACGTTTGAGTGGGGCTCTATCATGGGAGCAGAGCCTTGTGTGAAGCTGGGGGGACTGGCACAGCTGTTGAGAAGGAGTTATGTTGCTGGGCGCACACAAAGAGCGCGCCCACCTTGTAAAGAACTGGCAAGTGCTGTTTCTCACAGTGCCAAGCACCAGAACAAAGGAGGTCACCATATGAGCACGAACAGGTAAGTCTTGGCCCATTTTCCCTCCCCCTATTTTATAGGGATAAGTGAACGCGTGGGGTGCCAGTTCCCCTTCCTTAAGGTAACGGCTATCGGCGTGTCAATCGGTACATGGTGCGCACAGGTTTTCAGTGTGAATGAGAACTGCTGTCAGACTGTCCATGTACTGCCTGGTGAGAACCTGTCTTTACTCGTCCTGCATCGCAAGGAGACCTGCAGGGACAGAGCAGCTTCCTGGGACAGAAAGCGGGGCCGCAGAAGAGATGCGGCCGCCAGCACAGTGGAGGGCAGGAAGGATTCTGCTGTCAGTGGGACCATCCCTAAAGGAGCTTTGGCAGTGGATTCCTGTTTGGCACCTAGCCACCTGCCCTGCTGGTCCTGTTCCAGATGTTATAAACATCGGTCCCTGGAGAAGTGGAGTAAGTGAAACAAGTCCTCAAGATGCTGGTCACACTGTTCCTGTCTCTTTTTTTTTTTCTTTTCTTCCCC